TGGTAGTGACGTTTATTGTTACTGTGGAATATGTATCTGTGAGAGGTGTTAGAGTGATATAAAAAAAAAACTGGTAGTGACGTTAATTGTAATTCTTGAATATATATCTGTGAGAGGTGTTATAGTGAAATAAAACACTGGTAGTGACGTTTATTGTAACTGTTGATTATGTATCTGTGAGAGGTGTTAGAGCGATATAAAATATTGGAAGTGACGTTAATTGATACTGTGGAATATGTATCTGTGAGAGGTGTTAGAGTGATATAAAAAAAAACTGGTAGTGACGTTGATTGTTACTGTGGAATATGTATATATGAGTGATGTAACAGTGATATAAAACACTGGTAGTGATGTTTATTGTAACTTTGAAATATGATACTGGTTCTGATGCATAAATCAAATTAAAATACTGGTAACGACAGAAAATGTAACCTATCCCGGTATTGATGTAATAGTTAGTTACACGTAACGACAATGACGAAGCATGTGTTTAAAGGTCTTGACATTGTGGTTTATAAAAACGTGACATTCATTGTTATATTATTTACATTTGCATGGCATTGTCACTATATAGCCTCTTTGAAATCTGTGTCGTTGATGGGACTTTAATTACCATGCATCACGAGACACAATTCTTTGCGTATTTATACAACGCTGACCGGAACTACAATATCCAATATAATTAAACATGACGGCTGAAATATCGCTGGGCATTGTGAGATTTGACAATGTCATTGTAAATTTATGTGCAAAATAAAAAATAAAACAAAAAACAACGAAAACAAAACCGAAGATCTGCAATATCGTACAAAATGCACATCGGTTGAAATCACCAATGCCGGCAATGGAAACAATTTTAACGCTCATACAATTTATCATGTCTGAAATACACATATTCTATAGACCTACTGACACATATGTCACAGACCAACTGATATGAGTCACAGCACACATAAACATTTCAGACATTTTGTAACGAACCTGTGCTCCGTCGCAAGATCACTCACTCCAAACGCTATCAGTTTCACGCGTCTCGCATCCATGGTTCCTGATTTCTGACATGTCAAATAACGAGGCCGTTATAAAATCTACCGACTGGTGTCAGGTTCCCATATAATCCACAAATAAATTCACGCCTAGATTCTTCACAAAATGAGCGAAGAGAAAAGTTCGAACTAACTTCCAAAAATAACTCCCTCGTGGAGGGCAAGGTCGGATTTACGGTGTTCATTGTATTTGTCCATGAGCAAAATTTGTACCGGGGAAAAATCGAAACAATTTCAAATCTAACTTTCAGATCAAAGTTCTATTGATAAACTTAAATCACTCTATAGACATATCATACGCAATTGTATTGATACTGAATTTTGGAATAAAATTTAATTGTTTGTTAAAATTTCAAAGTGCTACTTTGTTCGCCAATCAGCACGCGACAATACGCTGTTCAAACTATTGAACGAAATCGTGTGGACTGTCGATAAGGCGGGCATTTTTAATTTCAAATATAAATTATAAGTTAAAAATGAACATAAGAGGAAGAGAAAACGTAAATACAAGTATTGAACTGTTTTTGTATGGTAATACACAGCTTTGCAAGCAGACAAATCATAATGCGCTAGCGCGCATTATGTTGTATACTTGAAAGCTGTGTCATTCAAATAGATCATAAATACCTTACAAAAACAGTTCAATGCTTAAATGAAAATGAGGGTTATTGAAATGCAATTGTACGAGTTATAATTGAAATAAGTGTTATAGAAACGTGACATGAAGTGTTTTTTATTACAATGAGCGATATATAACTGTGACAACGTGTTCTTATAACAAAAAAGGTTAATAAAATGTAATATTACGTGCTACAATACAATTAGGGATATTGAAATGTGACGTTAAAAGTACATTTGATAGGAATTTGACATTGAGATATAGAAAATAATCAAAACCAGTTGTAGGGATTTGACATTTTCGATAAGGAAATTGTGATATTTAAAAACAAATAAGAATGTTACATATTTGTTGTTAACAAGTAACATTTGACTAGACTTTGAGATTTATAGAGACGCTACAGTAAAGGTCATGCTGATTTTTCAATTAAGGATTGCATCTTGATTTGGTAAATTGCATGCGTGATGAATCGAGTTTGTCTTGAAGCAAATGTTATGAACTGCGAAGAAACCTTATATTTCAATCAACATTTGTTTTTCAATGACCGAAACTTGTGCAAGTCCATTATGATAGTTTGTCCTACATTCTGGACCTTGTGCAAGTCTACGTATTGACGTAATGTAAACAAACATAGTCTGCCATTGAAGGGCAATTATATAATATGATAGTGTGTGCTGATAGTTCAATACAGCCAACATATGAGGAAACAAAACACAAAAACATATTTAAATGTCATATCAATTTATACCTTATGATATTAAATGTTATGACACGTCATCGCGGAAGTATAGTGTATAGATGCAGTACGCAGGCTCGGCTATGAGTTTACGGCAGCAATCTTTTTACTAGCTCGAAGTGAAGAGCCGCTAAATTTCGAGGTTCTACATCTTCTGGAATAGGGAGCTGTAGAAATTGAATGGTTGTTTGACCCGCGTTGTTTTCGAATTGTACAGGGATTGACACTGACACAAGGGGCAGAATTGGTAGCTGGAGGGAGAAGTTCTAGGGCAGTACATGACTTGTCACTAACGTTAGCAAAAGCTGCTGATATTTTTGATTGATCGTTTACATTTACATTTACATTGGATACGTCGTAGTTACCAATAATGGCGTGACACGACGGGAGAGAGAGAATATGTTATTTACCTTGGGTGTTGTTTTGAAAGGGCTGATCTAAATCCCTCTACGCTTTCTGCGCACACTACTATATCATCCAGTTGGTTCCACTCAAGCGGTGTTTTGATGAAGAAGGAGTTCTTGTATGCTTCCTGTTTGTATCCTGGGATGATTAATGGCCTTGGGTTGTTGACAATGTTCCAGGTTAATGTTGCTGATGTTTCATGGTTCTCATAACGCTTTGTGTTTGTTTTTCCAGAGTGCTGGCTTATCTGATCTGGGGGTGGGGCTGTATTAACCCCTCAACTACTTTGTACATGAATACTAGTCTGTGATTTCCTTCTGTTTTGTAGGGTTGGCAGTTTTAGGTGTTGTATCATTTCTGTGACACATCCTTCATCCCGACTTTTGTAATTTCCAGTAATTAGGCGAGCTTCTCTCATTTGTATTCTCTCTAGTTTTTCAATGTCTGATTTCAGATGAGTGTCCCAAAAAATACTGCCATAGTCCAGAATTGATCTAACAAGTGATTTATATGCTGTTTTCTTATACTCTTTTGGGCAGTGTTTTTAATTTCTTCTCAGAAAGCCTAAAGTTGAGCTCGCTTTCCTCGTGATGTTGCTTATATGAGTACTCCATTTGAGGTCGTTTGATATCTGGAGTCCTGGGTTCTGATGTTAGTGACACTGGGCGATAGTTTTCCGCAGAGTGTTTGTCTCCCTTTTTAAATATGCATGAGATGTAGGCATTTCTCCAGTCTGCTGGAAGTTCTCCCGAGTCGAGTGTTTTTTGAAATATTTGTATGAGTCCTAATGATATTTCTGTTGCGCATTCTTGGAGGATTCTGTTTGATGTTTCATCTGGTCCTGAAGCTTTTGATATGTTTAAGTTCCTGAGTAGTTTCGCAACACCGTTTGTATATATGTATAGTTTCGGAATTGTTTCCTGTACACGTTTTGTTGTTTCTGGTATGTTGGTGTCTTTGTCGATGGTGAATACCGATTTAAATTGTTGGACTAATATATCCGCCTTTGACTGACTGTCACTGATGAGAGTACCTTTGATTTTTAGGGGGGATACTCCTATTGAGTCTTGATTTTTTTATTTGATATATTTCCAAAACGGTTTGTTGTTATTATTTTCGAGACCTTTAAGAATGTTGGTGTTAATGTACTCCCATTCTGCTCTCCTGAGGTTTCATTTGTATTCCCTTTGATGGTGTCTATAATTCTTCCAATCATTAGTTCTTTTGGCCTGCTGGTAAAGCTTTTCTTTTTTCCTAATCATTTTCCGCTCTTTAGATTTCATCCATGGTAGTTTGTTTCGTGTTCGTGCAATTTTTGATGGTATGTGGGTGCCCATAGCGTTACGCACGTCTTCTTTAAATGTTCTCCAGAGGTCATTGACATTTGCATCATTTTGGTAGTCATGATCTAATTTATTCGATGTTTTGGTGATGTCTTCTTTAAGTTTATCCCAAGATGCACGTGAATATTGATAGAACTTCCTCGCTGGTGAGGAATTGTAGTGAGGTTTTCTTTGAATGGCCGTAACTACCATTTCATGGTTTGATATTCCTGGTACACTGTACGAGCTCTTGGCAAGGCTTGGGTTTGTAGTAAATATGAGGTCTAGCATGTTGTTTTTGGTTTTCGTTTTTGGTTGCTTGAACGATTTTTGTGAAGCTTCAATAAAAATGTAAAAAAATCAAACCACTATCTACTTTTTGTTTAAATGTTAATAGTTTTCTCCCTTCGTGATTCATATGTACAGGCAATGTTAATCTGGTCAAAGTTATTGTCAAATGACACAGATAACATTTGGTAGTTGCATCCAGTCCAACTCTCCAATTCAACGACGATTCAATGGCCGGTAATTACAATTATAAAAGTTCAACAATGCCTGACCGTTTTATTAAAGTATGATCTCACTGAAGGTAGTGATTTTTAACATTTAATATATATTAAAAAAACCAATGCAGTGTTCTTTGACTAACAGAATATTTACCATCGGGACTTGATAAACATAATATAAACGACGATAAGCTGGATTTGCTCTCCCCTCGTCGATTGATGCTTCGAAGTGTCGGGCTGTGTAGGAATTTCTTTAGTGTGATACATTTGTGCATAAACGTTTGCAAACATTGTGTTGAAAAAAAATCACACACCAATTTATGCCAAATGATTCTTTTATTTAATTTTGCTTTTTGTTGTTTCCAGCGACATTGGTGCCGTCTGTCCTTGGCGGAAGGTACTGCCGATGGTCGTACGGTTATTTCGGATACAGCTACTATATTTATTGTCCTGAGAAATGTTGTGGGCCAAGCTCAAGCCAATATTGCTGTGATTTTGATTGGTAAGTGCCACCGGGTCAAGTTGTAGGTCCTCTTATTGTCAATATTGCTGTGATTATAATTGGTAAGTGGCACAGGGTCATGTTGTGGGTCCTACTCCTGTTATTATTGCTGTGATTATAATTGGTAAGTGACACACGGTCATGTTGTGGGTCCTACTCCTGCTAAAATTGCTGGGAGTATAACTGGTAAATGACACTGGGTCATGTTGTTGGTCTTACTACAGCAAATTATGCTGGGAATATAATTGGTAAGTGACACAGGGTCATGTTGTAGGTCCTACTCCTGTCAATATTGCTGGGATTATAATTGGTAAGTGACACAGGGTCTTGTTGTTGGTCCTATTCCTGTCAATATTTATGGGACTATAATTGGTAAGTGACACAGGGTCATGTTGTAGGTCTTATTACAGCAAATTATGCTGTGATTATATTTGGTAAGTGACACAGGGTCATGTAATGGGTCCTACTCCTGTAAATATTGCTTGGATTATATTTGGTAAGTGACACAGGGTCTTGTTGTTGGTCCTATTCCTGTCAATATTTATGGGACTATAATTGGTAAGTGACACAGGGTCATGTTGTAGGTCTTACTACAGCAAATTATGCTGTGATTATATTTGGTAAGTGACACAGGGTCATGTAATGGGTCCTACTCCTGTAAATATTGCTTGGATTATATTTGGTAAGTGACACACGGTCATGTTGTTGGTCCTACATTTGTACTCCTGTCAATATTGCTGTGATTATAATTGATAAATGACACCGTGTCATATTGTTGGTCCTACTGTCAATATTGCAGTGATTATATAATGGGAGTTCTTTTTACACAACCAATACCATTTTTTATGAGACATTTTGATGACTGGTACGATATGTACATTGTTACCTTCATCAGACAAATGACCAATGAAGCGTATTCACACAAAGGTGTAAAACGTGTACGAGTTGTCCATAAAATCGATGTTGATAAAAATCATTATCAGATACATCGGGTAGAATTTATTTCGGTGTTATGGATTGATGGTTTCAGCCATGTTTCATTTGCTGATATAATGTCTGGGTGGTAAGTGTCTAAGAAGTTCCAGAAGCTATGCTTTTTAGCATTGCTACTTTGACAGTTTATGGATGCAAACTTCATGTTGGGATTAAGAGTCAAGCTGCTCTTTTGTCCAAGGTTTGACGTAGGACTAGAAATATGCAGTGGGACGCTCATGTTGGGGTTGTCGATTGATGTGTTACTGAGGCTAGACGAAATGGTCGAGGTATCAAAGCTTGTGTCAAACAGGGTACTAGAGACGTTTGGATCGCCACAGGTACAAAACGTCCAAGATGAATTGGTTGACTACGGGGCTTTATAAAAATAGTGTTCATGACCATGCATTTTGCGTGATTATAATTGGTAACGACATTAGTGTATTGGAAGTTTGCTATTATGTTCTCTACATGGGGACAGAGAATGTGACACAAAATAGATATGCTGCATCCATTGGAACAACTTCTCAATTGTGGCCTCAGTGCTAAACGTTCGCTCAATTGTCGAGGCTAATGAGTGCTGTTCCTAGGCCGGTATACATCAAAACCATTTTAAAGGCTTGTTGTTACTCCTTGCTAATGAAAACGACAGGTTAACCCAAAGTCATTATAATTTGACCGGATTGAATGCTATGATTGATGCCTTCTCTCTTCTGGTATGTCAATAAGGTGGTTTCAGATCAGCTCTGACACAAGGAGTCAAATACATAGACCAGCGTATCATTAACCCACCTTGCCATTTTACAATTGTGTACCATGAATAATATATTTCACACGTCAGACATTTCGTCACTTACAAAATGTGTGTTAGATGTTATTTGCAATATAAACAACAAGAGAAAAGAATATATTTGGTAGTCAAACTGCTAATAAAGGATTGTATAATTATATCCCTTTTCTACCGATATAACAGGAACGATGGTTCCATAGCTGGTGTGGTGATCGGGAGTATTGTGGGCCTAGCTATGCTGATAACACTGCTTGTGTGCCTGTGTAAGTCGTGTAACAAGAATAGGCACACGACAGGACAAGTTGTCTATCCTAGCACCGAACAACCAACTGTGGCTATTGTCGATACCAACACCCATACAGGTATAACTCCGAGCAGCATCCCTCATTGGCTTTACCCAATACCAGTGTAGGTATAGCACCCTACAAAACCCACATTGGTGTTTGTCAACACCAGTACCCTCACATCTCAAACTCCAAGAGACAGCCCTCGGTGGTACCTTTTTGAACTACAAGTGTAAATGCTATTTTTTATAAATTAATTGTTTTTTTCGTTATGGTATTATGAAATATTTGCAAAATTGAAAAAAAAAGAACAATGATTTACTTTAGTTGGCTTTCATGGTAAATATGAATGCCAACTGGAAATTACAACTTCAACAAGAATCGTAGGCGCGCTTCATGGAATTTGTTCTTTCTAGATTGGATTCTTATTATCTTTGAGTGCCAACTGAAATGAGTTCAACATATTTATTTACGTCTGTATTATATCATCATTCTAGGTCATGGAGCTGCCTACCCTCATCAAGGAACGATTCATCCTCCTCCTTTTCCTTCTCAAGGACCAGCCTTTCCTCCTCATGGACCAGCTTATCCTCCTCACGGACCAGCTAATCCTCCTCAAGGACCAACCTTTCCTCCTCAAGGACCAGCTTATCCTCCTCAAGGACCAGCCAATCCTCCTCAAGGACCAACCTTTAACCCGCTTCCACCAGCTTACGTCCCTCAAGGACCAGCGTATCCCCCACCTCCACCAGTGTACCACCCTCAAGAACCAGACTATCCCCCGTCGATTCCAGGCCAGTTTGTACCTCCGCTGAAATTTTAAGATCAATGTTTATCTCCGTCAATATACCGTCTCTTTATTATTTATTGATATGTTGTATGTCTGTACCCCTCTTGGTAATCACTGTGGTTATTAAATTGTATAAAACTTGACATTTGGCCCTCGGATCATAACAGAACCTAAAGTTTAAGGTTTTGATTACCCATTCACGAATGACATCATATTTCATGACATTATTGGTGATTGGTTAAGTAAACCATGAAGACAAGTTTAGACTCTAGATCGTGTCATGGTTTCGGAACCTGATCAACTGTGATATAATTATCTTTTATACTTAATTAAGGAATCCGGAATCTATGATCATGGTTTATCCTAACAAATTAGTATTCAGATTCGAATGCGTCAAACGCTAAGCCAAAACGTCATCACTTATATTCAGTCGACCTACATGTATGTTGTTATGAACGCACCCTAAATTTGCTATGTAATAATGGTAAGCATTAAGGCAGTACAGTGACCGATGCGTCTTCTTAAAGTGAGTATTGTGAAACAGAGCATAAGTAATCTAATAATGAGGAACATGATGTCACTTTCAGTTTTTTTTAGTATAAGCATGTCTTGGTAACTGAAAGACTTTCCATTGGTGACAGTTAAACCTGTTCTCCAAGACCCATTTATCTCAACGAAACTGATGCTTAAAGCAAGCCCCTGTGAATGAACTGTGATTAAGTATCCTTAATATAATATTTTGATACACAAATGACTATTCTTGTTTTGAGTAATATAATATTGAATGATTGGGAAGGTTTCACATTTCTTTCTTCAGTAGTTCCTTGCAAACTTACAATCTGATGACAGTTTCCTAACTAATATTAACGAAATGCTTCATATCCCTGAGTTTTATATAGAGAGGACAATCGGACTTTGGCCTCGATGAGGGTAAATTATTTTAATACAAGGATCACATCTTTATTTGTAACTGATGAAGTTAACATCAGAACTAATTCCGCCAATGAACCAGGTGCTCCAAAGTCTAACAGAACGGGTCTTATTGTCCCTTCATACAAACATACATACCATACCATACATACATACATACATACGCATGCACGCACGCACGCATGCACGCACGCATAGAAGTTCCCTCCACGATTTAACGAGTTGTTACTACTGGAATATAAATGTCCAATAATTCCCTGTAGATCACAGTCCTCCGTTATCTTACATATATATGCATATATTACTCGTGTATGTCATTCTTGCTTGTGTTTTGTCTCTGATTAACGATGAATTAAGTATAACAAATTGTAGCTGTGTCACCGAGCCTAATGAAAAAGTTTTTTTTAATTTTTTTTTTTAAACTGATTTATTACGAATTAGTATATGTTTTAATCGATTTCAGACTGAACGCCATGAGTGGCGTCTAACGTATACAGCATTACTAAACAGGAAGGATGTGGTATAAAGAGGACCGTCTATTCATAGGTCGGTTATTACAGTTACACATGGATCTTGCTCTCCGTAGTTGGTTTTCAAAAGTAATAAAAAGTCGGATTATCTTGTTGTATATTAAAAATACCTACGGTAAATCTCATCAAAAAAGCAAAATCGGTAAATGTTGAGTCTTTAATTCTAAAAATCGAGCGGTATATCTCTTTTGTTAATTAGAAAATGAGCTTAATTGATAGAGATGAGTACGAAAAGGAACCGTTACTCGTTTTGGGAGCCTCTCGATTCATGTACGTTATTGTAATGCTTATAGTGTGTGTGTCACTGCACCAATACTACCCACAGTATATCAACGTAGTATGTACCACTCTAAATGTAGTATATAGCTATGATTGTAAGTTCCTATACTTCATTTTGCTAAAAGACTACATATGCTTCTATATGTTTTATACTGTGATATTGAATCATTATTCCATGCTAAAAATACCAAATTTAAGGTTTCGGACATGTGTATTTCAGTTAACTGAACATCAACAATGCTAGAAGCAATAGTATTAAAGTGTTAATTGTGTCATGATTCGTGTGTCTTGTGTTTTATTTTTTTAATATTGTTTGCAAAAAAACTATATACTTTTTGAATCTTTGTAACCGCTCCATTAAAATGATAATTTTGAATTGATTTGTATTGTTTGTTATCAATACAGTTGTGTCATGCTATTTATAATGTTGGGACACATTGTACACGTAAAACCTGTGAGTCGTTACATCCTACGTTATTGTTCCCCAGTTCAAATCACACACCGCTTATTTCACTTTTATTGTAGCTGTGGTACAGTGGTGGATCATTCGGTGGAGTCCATCTTTCCACGTTCACTTTTATTGTAGCTGTGGTACAGCGGTGGATCATTCGGTGGAGTCCATCTTTCCACTTTCACTTTTATTGTAGTTGTGGTACAGTGGTGGATCATTCGGTAGAGTCTATCTTTCCACTTTCACTTTCCATGCACGATTATTAAACTGACGGTATCAACAAAGGTTAAGATAAACCCACCTTTCATTCTAATTTTAGATACACGGTTGTCATTTAAATAAAACAACCTCATACATTTATTTTCACTATTTAACCGCGGAATATTAATGAACCACTTTCTAACGCATTATTATATGTTACTTAGAAGTGTAGAGAAATAGTTTAAGCCAAGTTAACATTATACTTTCAGTTTACAGAATAACCTGTGGTGATTAAATATTAATCTGGTTTCTAATTGACATATTCAATGCTCAATGTGGTACGGTTATGTGAATGTGTACCAGTCTGGGTGATGTAGGACTACTAGTGTAGCTGTGTACCAGTCTGGATGATGTAGGACTACTAGTGTAGCTGTGTACCAGTCAGGGTGATATAGGACTACTAGTGTAGCTGTTGCTGCAGGGTGATGGACACTATGGACAAGTTGTATGGTTGCAGTCAGGTTCTTGTAGAGAAATATGCTATCTCTTTGTATGGTATAAAGGTCGATGTTTTTTTATTATGCTATTTAGTGTGCCTTGTAATGTTGTCACTTCACGAGTTCTCGGTTTTAGGACCTGACACTACTTACATGTATTTTCGAATAAGATTTACATGGCGGGTGTCGTAGACAAGCAAAACACGCGTATTATCTTTGTACGTTGGCAATAGCCAAACAGGTATTGTTTTTAATATAATACTAATATACAACATTTGATATAGCTCCCTATCTAGCTAACATAAGCCACTCTAAAGGGCTTTACAATACGTAGATATACAATTTATACTATCAGCATATCATTAATCAATACAATTATGAGGAATTAGCAGGAGCCTTATCAGGCGCTAACTACTAGGCATATCCTACCTGGCTAATATCTCCCTATGTGTGTATGCCTGAATGTGTGCTGGAGATGTAATGTGTTCTCTTTGTAGTGGAACCGTGCTTCCAACAGCATCATTTATAGTGCTACCTCACTTGAATGCTACAGCACAGATACCGTAACATCCACCCAAGACCAATTTATACTCCACCTGGGTTGTTGGAGTTGTGTTGGAGGAGGAGATAAACACTTTCTCTGAATATCCATGCGTACGAGGACCGAACTCAGGCCGCCTGCGTGGAAGTCCGGAGTGTTAACCACTCGACTAACCACAATCAGACTGTAACACACTGAATACAATATGGCATAGCATCATCTAACAATATTACATACTATAAACAATTGTTTCGTATACACTAACATTTGTGTGTGAATTCTAATCTGGTATGTAAAACAATAATTTTTGGTAAGTTTATTTTAAGCTGACTATTCTTAATATGGAATATCAATCGTTAATACCTTGAGTCAGCTGATACAAATGGTTTAGCCTGCAAGCGTTACGTGGTTAACAGCGTGTGTTCCAGAAGACAAATGCTGTATTGGGGATAGCTAAATTAAAACTTATTTCAAACAGGTTATGTTGTGAGAGATGTTTCATCGACATAAGCCTTCATGTCAACAGACACACACGCAGGTAGATGCATAGTGTGACAAGGTATCAAGGTTCAAAGTCTATGTAAACACAAAAGTTATCTTTGTTAGAGAGTAGACGGCAGAAAACAGTCAAACGAATGTGGTTAACAAGCGGGTTCACTGTGTACATGGATGTCTGTTATTTGAAGGCAAATATAACTTATTAAGGGTAATATTAGGACGCCAACAACGTCAAAACAATTCATTCTATATATATATCTTTCTCTATAAAAATGACATCACTAATATAGTTACTAGTAACATTAAACTTTTTGTAGATGATACCTCCCTCTATATTATTGTTAATGATAATCCCATTCAAGCAGCACAAAATATCACTAATGACTTGCAGAATATATGTTCTTGGGCTATATCTTGGGATATAAAATGTAATTCATCCAAAACTTAAAATATGATCTTCAAACGGAAAAAAAGTAATTAATCACCCTCCAATCTTCTTTTCTTATCAACCAATAACCGACAGTACTAACCATAAACATTTAGGTCTTACTTTTAATGAAGATGGTAAACGGGGTCAACATATCCAAAATATTTATGATATAGCATATAGAGGAATTAATATATTAAGAAGTCTTAAAACCTCACTTGATAGAAGTACACTTAACACTATGTATATGTCATATATTAGACCAATTTTAGAATATGCTAATGTAGTTTGCGATAATTGCACTGAACAATCAAAATTATTTTTAGAATCAGTCCAACTAGATGTTGCTAGAGTAGTGACAGGCTTCGTAGAGGTACATCACACCATAAATTGTACAAAGAATTGAGATGGGAAAACTTAGCAGATAGGAGGGGGGGGGGGGAATTAACTGTATTGTATACAATATAGCACAATATATCACCAAAGTACCTTAATGATATAGTTGATCCTTTTTTAAATTATTTAACAAATGTCAGATATCAGCTTAGACTAAATAGAGTTTGTTAACCCCCCTGTATGCAGAAATGATAGCTATTTTATTAGTTTCTTTCCCTCAACCTTTCTACTTTACAATCAGTTAGACCCAGATATTTTAAATGCTCAATCTCTTACCCACTTTAAGAAACTAATTAACATAACTAATAATGATACTCAGACAGTGGTAAAACACTCTGGTGATAGAAAAATCAATAGTATACTATGTCAAATTAGAAATAATGCTAGCAACTTAAACTTTAATCTCTTTAATGACCATCTATTAGAATCTGCTTCATGTGTGTGTGGTTATATACAGGAAACAGGTTATCATTACTTCTTTGACTGTGCCAGACAAAACAATCACAGACAAGTGCTCTCTGCTACTCTACTCAATAATAATCTCTCGCGCTGTACTTTACATACTTTACTAAATGGTTGTAACCATTGTGACAATGAAACCAATAAAAATATCCTAGAGAGTGTCTCAACCTTTATTTTGAACTCAAAAAGATTTATATAACTAGAATTATCTATATAAACTTATATTATAATGTACTATACATAATCTAATATTGTAAACATGAACAGAAAACATGCGCTTGGTAATTAATATCATCGCTTACTTTAAACACTTCCTTTTAGGTCCTGATATGGATGTGTAACAGAATGTTTGATAGCATGTATTTGTCTATGTGGTAGTCGTAGAAATAGCTGCCTGCTGATTTGGCCTTCTGTTGTGGAATGTTACCCCGCCAGTTTCCTCCAGCTTACGGCACATCTTACGGCAAGCTGCACAACAGGTACCCACTAATAAGAGGCTTGTTACGATTCCAGATATAACTCCAGCAGTCCTAAACAATTACACACACAAAAAGAAACTAAGATTGCAAGTGTTTAGATATCGATTTTTTTAATAAGCATCTGTCAAAAGTTTTCATTTGTAGCTTAACTATTGTTATTGAACAAATCACCAATATGTTCACTTGGAAACTCTTTTTAACACAGACTTAATTGATTTTCTTCTCTCTCCAAATAAATGCTGAAAATAAATAACTAATATTTGCATGGAAATGGTGTGGTCACACTTTATTTCAACGGGATAATTCAAATACAAATACAAATATAATGTATGTTTTTTTTAAGATGTAATATATAATGTCTTTACTTCTTATATATATACATGTATATATCTTAGACAGATTCATTTCGAATTTCGCATCATATACTGACAACAAATTATTTTTTATCTAAAGTAGGTATCTCAGATAATCCTCTATGTACTTTTTGTAATCCAGCTGAAGAAACTTTAGTGCACTTATTATGGGAATGCCAAGAAGTTCAGTCTTTTTTGCAAAGTTTTGAACCTATCCTAGATGCATTGCTTATTCCTTTCCAATACAATAAAATCACTTTCATATTAGGATTGTTTACACAAACAGAACGGTTTAATAAGAACGATAATGAAATACTTTTAATAATTAAGCAATACATTTATAGTTCTAGATGTAACAATAGAATGTTAAATAACAACTCTTTAATTCTTAAAATCAAGGACCATTACACTGTACAAAGTTATATTTCAACTGCTTAAAGGCGAATGCTATATGCAGAGATTTAATGCATACTGGGAAAAATGGATGCGGCTAATAGAGCTGGTGGACTAATTTTAAATACAAGTGTAGTTATAAAGATGTACGTACATACATACACATGTATATTTTGAATATTTGTTGATTATGAATTAATTATATTGAAACTGCCCAGTACTCTGGCAATATATTTTGTTGGTTCTGGTAATATTTTTTAAGTAATATATGAGTATAGTTTGACATCCCTGTCTTTGGCATCTATCCTTAGAATTCATTAATATGATATGTTTGCAACAGAATATCTATGCCTATTCATTCCTTTTCTTTTTCCTTTCTTCTCTCTTATTTCTCTTTCCTTCCTTTTCGACAATATTATACACATATCAGTAATAGCAATTACAGGAGTTTTATCTACAGTGCTACAGTACATAGTGGTCCCCGTGGACGACCGACATCTAACGGCTTCAGTTGGTACAGTCAATCCTACGGTAATTCGATATCATGTATTCCTACTTAATATCGTTATCATAATTCCTTCATATTTTTGTTTTTCTTTTAAGCATTTTCAAACTCTAGTCCATTGCTGGCTTTTATAATATTGAGAACCAATAAATAA